ACTGAGCCACCCAGGTGCCCTTTATCCATCCTTTCTAAAGTGGCACTCCTAACATCCTGAGATCCCCATCTATTATATCATCCCATTACAAACATTTCATAAAAAGTGTTGAAATTTGTAATTTTTAGATTTTTCGTTTACTTGTTCATTGTATGTCTCCTCCATGAAGGTAGGGTCTTGTCTTTTTTGCTTGCTGCTATCTTTTGTGTCCTCATGTAGCACAATGCCTGGTACAAAATAAGTGTTCAAATAAATATTTCCAGAATGAATGAATGCACACTGATGTATAGCAAATAGTAGTGAGTAGATGAATCCCAAGGCAGATAGGCCACCTTGGGTTGTTACCGTGTAAAAGACCGTCTTCACGGGGTGGGAAGGGAGAAGTGAGTTCATGAAGGGAGGTCCTTGTTTCCAGCAACCTGGTCAAGGCTTAGAGCATCAGATGCATGCCATAATGTTGATGGATGCCAGCTAGTATTTATTTTTAGGGTGTAATTTCTCTGTGTCACCTCCAAATTTTCAGTAAAATTTCTTAAACTCAACAGCTATGTGTTTTGTTCTTTGGGGAATGGAGGAAGGACTATGTGTTCGTGTTTGGGGTCAAAACAGGCCGTAGAGATGCTTAAAAGAGAGCTAAGAGTGTTTGAAGACAGACAGCAACTAGAATGAATTTGTATTATCTGCGAGCATCTCCCTAGAGTTGTCAGCATTATGGTTATTTGGATAGTAGACGAAAGGGTGATTATGGTTATTTGGATAGTAGACCTCAGGTGATTTGAGGTCACTCTGGTTACATAATTAATAAATTATTTGGTAATTCTGTGTTTAGTGTCTGTCCCATGAGACTGTAGTCTCCCTCCGGACAGTGATTCTAACTTGTTTACTCCTGGTCACTGGGTGCCTGGCTGGATGGGTGCTCAGTAAATGTTGGTTTTGCAGATGAATGGTTCTGGATATTTTTGTGTTTCTGGGTCAAAAGTCAGAAGGGTCTGCTGACATGTGATGAGGAGGACTGGAAGAAAGCCCAGGCTCTGAGAATGAGGACCAGGTAAAAGCTGGGGGTGGAGGGATGTTCTCTACGGACTGGTTTGTTGGGAGGATTCAGATCCAAACTCAGGCCCCAGGGTGGCTGGAGGCATAACAGGACACTCTTGATACCTAGTCAGTGGACTTAGAGAAACAAGTATTCTGAGCCCCCGTTGAGTTGTGGGAAGGGGTTTCTTAATGTCTTAGGGTTGATGCTCATTGGCCCAGGGTTGGGATGGGCCTAAAATAACCACTGGGACACATTATCTTAGGCGGCACAAGGACAGGTGGGGACTGACAGACCTTTGGCTGCACATGTTCCCTGATTCTCTGAGAGTGACAAAGAACCCTTAGACATGTTGAGGAGCTCTTGTGTCCTAAGACCCTCTCCATTTGTGGCCTCCTCTCCCCTGGCCCCACTTGATCCCTTCTATCACCTCTGCAGTTTCTAAAAGCTGGGTCTTGTATGCTTTGAGTGCCTAGGTCCATGGCCTGACCACAGAAGTATTTCAGTTCCCCAAACCAAAAATACTGCCATTTTGATTCCTGGCCTTTCTGTCCCCAGGGACCAGCCATGGTGGATGGAATAGGAAGCCTAACCATGGGAGCCTGTTGATCAGTGGATTGAATTTCGTCATGAATTTTCCCAGGTTCCAGTTCTTAGGAGAAAAAATATTGATTTTTCTGGATGATTTTCTCTGTATGTTGTCTTGACAGAGAGTTATGCAGTAATATTCATGGCATCATATTTTTCAACACTTTTTGTTAGGTTTTCCCTTGCCCCATGGATCCATATTAATAAATCAATATTTTTTTTTCAGTTCCAAACACCACAGTTTATTACACAGAAAGTAATGACTCTCAATATGAAAATGAGGGCATTGAAGGAATCCACTGTGACAATATCTCATTTATGGACAAAAGTGACTTCAAAGGGAGTCTCTGGAAAATGTCCAGCAAGAGGGTTGGACAGGGACCGCATTTCACAATGCGGTGCCATGTGACTGAAGTCAGCACAGGGGGAGGGAGAAACAAAGGAGTAAAATTTCCAAGCTACTTCTAATTAAGAACAATTTAACTTGTTCCAATTGCTAAGCGGGCATATTTAAAATGTAAATAAAATAAGTAAAAAGCGGTGTACCTTGGAAGACTAAGGAAATTACGAAGGATGTTAATTTTTGAAATTATCATGTTAAGAAAACATGATGGAATCAGGCAGATAATTGAAAAGTTTCTTGCTAATTGTCAACATGTCTTCATCCCCAAATGGTCTAAGAGGACACGGACGGCTAAGTATTTTGTTCTAGACAAACATCTTTACAAAACGTGCTGTAACGTCCCCACAGAGGCCCCTCAACTGCACTCACGTCCCCCAGAGCCAGACCGCCGGGGCTCCGGGGCTGCACAGACGCTCGGGGCCCCGGGCAGCAGCCGCCACTGCCTGGAACTAGCGGTCCCTTCTGGTCACTTGACATCCATGGCTGGTCTGCTCTGTAGGCTCTCATGAGCGGGACGCGCCACCAAGGAGTCCGGTCTAGTCAACTTGAGCCTTCTGCCAGTTTTACCGCAAAACACACTCTCAAATTCCTTTTTAAGAGAATCTCCATGTCTTTCCTGAATGTACTTCAGGAACGCAGTGGTCCACTGCAGGGTGGTCGCCTTCTCCGTCTCCGCATTGCAGAACGGGACTAAAAGATTCAACTCATCGCAGCAAATGCGGATTCTGCACCTTCTCTCTCTTTCCATGCGGTTGTGCCTCTCCCTACGCTGCGACCTTCCTCCCCGGGGCCCGCTCTGGGTCTGCTCCCCGAGGTTTGCCGGCGAGGACTCCGCGGGCGGCCAAGCGCCCTGTGGGGACGTCGAGCCTTCGCCCACGTTCTGAATCTCTCCAAGGGCTCTTCGTTCTACATTTGTGTCCAGCTGACGTAGTCTACTCCGATTCCTCTTATGTATGGCTTGCTTACATAGCGCTTCTTCTACTTTAATTTGGCCAAACTTGCTCAGGCAAAGCTTTGTTTCTACTGCCCCAAGTCTGTTTAGTGGATTCAATTTCCTGCTGGTAACAGAAAGAGAATGCTCTAGGCAATCCAGTGTCCTGATGCTTGGCAGCTTCGAGTATAGAACAGGGGTTACCGGACCCCTGCGTCTGTGAGAGGCTCGAACCCCCCGCAGCCCAGCAAGCATCGGCCGTGAACAGAGGGCATGTAAACTGTAAAGCGCTGGCGGCGCTGCGGTTTTATTTTTCACCAATGTCGTGCATTTGTTTTGTTGCTGATGTAGAGGGACGTTCATGAATTCGGAAGGACGTCGGATAAGAGCTACGAAATTGTTGAGCGCCACGCCGGGCTCTGGGGTCTCGGGGCCGCGCGGGGCGGGCGGCGGCCCGGCGGGGACGCTGTTGAAGCGGTCCTCCAGGCGGACGCGCACGGCCCACTTGGCCCGCGCCTCGGGCGCGCCCTCCGCGTTCTCCTTGCCGCCGCCGTCGGGCGCCTTGGGCCGCGGCGCGCGGGGACAGGGGCCGTGGGCGCCCGGCGTCCTCTCGGCGGGGGCGATGGCAGGGGCGCCCGCCTCGCTCAGCAGCATCATGCGCAGCCCCTGGAAGTCGACGTGGCCCAGGCAGGGCGCTGCGCCCGCGAAGCCGCCGTCGGCTAGCGCGGGCGGGCACAGCACCGGGTACACGGGCGCCGCGCCCCCCGCCGCCGCCGCCGCCGCCGCCTCCATGTGCGAGTAGAGGATGTGCTGCAGCTGCGTATACTCCACCTCCGTCATCTCCACCAGGCTCAGGTCGGTGGTCGTGAAGCTCAGCCCCGCCTCGCCCGGCGCCGCGTCCGCGCCCTCGGGGCCCGCCGGCCCGCCCGCCTGCGGCGGCTCCCGCGGCCCGGGGCCCGACGTGCCAGAGCCCATGGCGGGGCGCGCGCGGCGGGGCCGGCGGGCACCGGGCCGGCGCGGCCTCGCCCGGCGACGTCGGGGGCGGGAAACCGCTGCTAAATCCGTATTTGTTTATTGAGCACGGACTATGTGCAGACACTGGGCTGTACACTCATCAGGGGATAAAAAGAGTGGCTAAGGGTAGTTCCTGTTCTCCAGGAATTTACAATCTCGGTTTGGGGACAAATCAGAAAATAGCTAAAAGTTGAATAACCATAAATATGTAAATTTGACATAGAAGGGATTTATAAACAGAACAGAACTGACTGGTACTTGAATTGTATAAGGTCTGCTGCTGGAATTTGGGAAAAATTTATAGAGAATAGCAGAGAAGTCATCACTGATCCAGGAACCTGATCTGAGTCTTGGATTTAGAATTTATCCAAGTACACAAGAGGTGGAGGCATCAGTGTAGACGGACAGAACTGGATGAATTGAGCCTAAGTGTGGTCAAGGGAACGGAATAGCTGGATCAGAGCACTGTGTGAAGTGGGGCTGTGTGTGATAAGGTCAAATGTGCAGCTTTTTAAGCAGGACCCTGAGAGCCTCGCTGTGGACTTGGGATTTTAATCTGGAGATGATGGAAAGCGTACAGGTCAAAGTGCATACCAAATCCAACTCAACAAATGAAGCACTAGGCCAATGCTAACAGGATGAAATGTACCTTGGAAGAAGTGCAAAGGCATGCATGTGCATCTGTGTGTGTATATTTGTGTGTATGTGTATACACCTCTTAAGAAGAGCACAAATTCGAGATGGAGGACAGCCTGTTTTAATAGTATTTCACTTGAAACAGATAGAGGTGTTAATGTTATCTATAAGCTTAATATAGGTCCTTGGTTTGACCTGGCTGGGAAAAGCCTCTTGTACTTCAGGCTTCAGCAGCCGGAGTAGAGTCTCCAGAACCAAAGTTGTACTGGCATGCTATTTTCTCTCCCCAAGTCCTTGAAGAGGACTACTTTGATAAGAGGGCCAATATTCATAGAGGAGCTTCCTGAATTCTCTCCTGTGGGAGAATCTTATTCTCATGTGCTATTTCCCTTCAGGTTTCTCTAGGACTCAGAGCCAACTTGACTCTCTCAGATCCTGCACATCTTCATGCAGTTTACTGAGCCGCCTGAGGTGACACATTCAGACCTTGTCTGGGAGAAAAAGTATCGATGTACAACCAACTGAGCAAGCATTTGTCTGGGATGAAACGATGTTCTGAGACGTGGAACTTCTAGAGCTAAAACAAGGAGAATCCTGGAAAACTACAATGGTTGGTCACCCTACAACATACCAGAACCTTCTTGAAGATTCACCCCCACACCCGGTGGTTTTCTCTTAGAAACTGGAGCAACATGCCTGTCTCATAGATATTTATCCTCTAGGTACAAGTTGCAGAGATCTCATGTTCTATGTTTCTAAGATTTTCCAAGGGGGCAAGCTTGTGATGCTTTAGGTTTTGCAAATCTGAAATATTCACCAAGGCCATTTTTCCTATCCGTTTCCTTGAGGTGTTCTAGTCTACAAAATGTCCCATGTGACTTTTCCTTTTTGTGAAGAACAGATTCCCTTAATCTTGGGAGGACCAGATATTGAAATGGAAAGAGTATGGATTTTTGAAAGCTTAAAGATCTTCTGGTGGATTCTGGTTTTACCATATACTCATTGTGGTAGACAGTGCTATGTGTTCACGAGGTTCTACTGCATTATCCTCTTCTGGGCACATAGGAAGACCACTTAGGTGCTCTCTGAACAGTTCTGGCCAATAGGTTGTAAGTCGAATGACTGTGTCACTTTATAGCTGAAGCATGGAATATGAGAGAGCTTCTCCATGCTCCTCTATCCTTGCTGTCATGACCATGAGGGCCACGTGTCCTTCCTTGGTGTGGCTACAAGATGGCAGAAGTCACTGAGTGACTGCACAACAGAGGATTTTTCCCCTTACCATTGTCTCCCATTTTACTTTGTGCGAGCAACAAATGAATGTTTGTTGTGTTAAAGCTGCTGAGATTTTGTGGTTGGTTTATTACCACAGCATAACCTGACTAAAACACTAGTTCTGTGTCTTCCTCCCCTTGGGTTACCCCAATAAAAAATACCATGGATTGGGTGGCTTAAGCAACAGACATTTATTTCTCATGGTTCTAGGGGGCTAGAAGGCCAAGATCAATGTGCTGGTGAGAGCTGGCTTCCTGGCTTCAGACAGGTGGCTCCTTGTTCTCTCTGAAGGCAGAGCCCTGGTGCCTTCCTCTTCTTTTAAGGGCACTAATCCCATTATGAGGATTTCACCCGCATGACCTCATCTAAACCTAATTACCTTCCCTTTCTTAAGAAATATTGCTTCTTTTTTTTTTTTTTTAAAGATTTTATTTATTTATTTGAGACAGAGAGAATGAGAGACAGAGAGCATGAGAGGGAGGAGGGTCAGAGGGAGAAGCAGACTCCCTGCCGAGCAGGGAGCCTGATGCGGGACTCGATCCCGGGACTCCAGGATCATGACCCGAGCCGAAGGCAGTCGCTCAACCAACTGAGCCACCCAGGCGCCCCAAGAAATATTGCTTCTTAAGAAACATTGGTATTGGGGCGCCTGGGTGGCTCAGTTGGTTAAGCAACTGCCTTCAGTTCAGGTCATGATCCTGGAGTCCCTGGATCGAGTCCCGCATCGGGCTCCCTGCTCGGCAGGGAGTCTGCCTCTCCCTCTGACCCTCCTCCCTCTCATGCTCTCTGTCTCTCATTCTCTCTCTCTCAAATAAATAAATAAAATCTTTAAAAAAAAAAAAAAAGAAAGAAACATTGGTATCCCCCAATACCATCACACTGGGGTTAGGATTTCAACATATGAACCTGGGGGGGATATATTCAGTCCCTAACACCTTATAAGCTTGTCAAGCTTCCTGATAATGTTGAGGCTATAAAAAAGGGAAATAATATCTCCTTCAAAGACCATCTTATAGGGCTGTTAGATGCTGTAGATGTGGTGTTCAGAATGGTTCCTCATGCATACCAAGAGCAGAAAAATATTTTGTTCCCTTCTGTTCTTTTAGGAAAATACACAGGTATTTCTTTCTGGAGTAATACTTAACCAAAAGGGTAAATACAACCTCTCATGTCCAGGGAAGCATACACAGAGTCCCCAGGTGATGCAGGTAGGCCCATCTCTGTACTTTTGTTTGGCTCTTGGTCTTTCACCTGGAGTGGTCTTTGATCAAGGGACCCATGCCCAGAACATGCCACCATGATGTCAGACATTGGACACCAGGACTCCCCTCTGTTCACTTTTTTTTTTTTTAAGATTTTATTTATTTATTTGTCAGAGAGCACAAGCAGGGGGAGTGGCAGGCAGAGCAGGCAGAGGGAGAAGCAGGCTCCCTGCTGAGCAAGGAGCCCGGGACTCCATCCCAGGACCCTGGGATCATGACCTGAGCCAAAGGCAGGTCACGACTGAGCCACCCAGGTGTCCCCCCACTGTTCAATTCTAAGCATCATATTTTAGGAAAATTGTTGACAGGTGGGGCAATTTCTAGAGGAAGGGGAGCAGGTTAGGAAAAGCCTGGAATCCATGGGGATGGGTGAACAACCTACTACAAGTAAGGTTGTCAGATTTAGCAAATAAAAATATGAGAAGCCCAGTAAAATTAGAATTTCAGATAAATAGTGGATCCCATTTTAGTATACAAGTTGCGTCATGCAATCTTTGGGGTCTCCTTATACTAACAAGGTATCCCTTGTTTATCTGAGATTCACATTGAACTGGGATCCCTGTAATTTATCTCGTAGTGCTAGCTACAAGGATTGTTGAGGACAGTGCACCCACATCAGATAGAGATGCAACATCATACTTAGGAACACAAATGTGTATTTATACTTGGCTACCGGCAGCTGCTGGGTATGCAGATTTCTGAGTGAGCAAAGGGGAAGTTCAGAATTAGGTGTGTTATTCTGGGGGAACTGCATGCGAGAGGCAAATTTGGGTGAGGGTGGGAATTTTGGTTATCCTAGCTTCCTCCTTCCCCTCAAAATAATAGATAGATGAGAACTGACTCTTTCTTTTGATTTGCCCTAAGACCTACAAGCAGGAACATAAGGTACTGATAGTTACTTAGTACTTTTTCTGCCCTCCCTCTCTTTTGGTCTGTCCTTCCTTACACAGTTATTAGTACATACATTTACTGAGGAACTATGCTAAGGGCTTTCTTGACAGAAGAAATCTAATAGCCCCAAGAAACAATATTTCTTTCTTTTTTAGAAGATTTTATTTATTTATTTGACAGAGCGAGAGAGCAGGAGAGCACTAGCAGTGGAACAGGCAGAAGGAGAGGGAGAAGAAGGCCCCTTGCCAAGCAGGGAGCCCGATGTGGGGCTCGATTCCAAGACCCTGGGATCATGACCTGAGCCGCAGGCAGTCGCTTAACCAACTGAGCGACCCAGGTGCCCCGGAAGCAATATTTCTTTTCTTTTTTTTTTTTTTTAAAGATTTTATTTATTTATTTGACAGAGAGAGACATAGCGAGAGCAGGAACACAAGCAGGGGGAATGGGAGAGGGAGAAGCAGGCTTCCCGCCGAGCAGGGAGCCCGATGCGGGGCTCGATCCCAGGACCCTGGGATCATGACCTGAGCCGAAGGCAGACGCCCAACGACTGAGCCACCCAGGCGCCCAGCAATATTTCTTAAGAAGGGGAACTATCAGGGCGCCTGGGTGGCTCCGTTGGTTAAGAGACTGCCTTCGGCTCAGGTCATGATCCCCGGGTCCTGGGATCGAGCCCCACATCGGGCTCCCTGCTCCGCGGGGAGCCTGCTTCTCCCTCTCCCACTCCCCCTGCTTGTGTTCCCTCTCACTGTGTCTCTCTCTCTCTGTCAAATAAATAAAATAAAATCTTAAAAAAAAAAAAAGAAGGGGAAACTATCTTACAAAATCAACAATGATTTAGACAACTTTAAGTGAACTCCCGGGCAGTCTGTGGGTATAGTGGAAGGGGTTCAGGGCACAGGAGGGAGCAAAGAGAGGATGGATTAATAACTTGTAGAGGAACAAAAATTATCATCCTTACCCCAGCACTTTTAAGTTTATGTTTACTGATTATTCTAGTAAAATATGCTCCTTATGGAAGACGATGGCATGCAGAGGAATAGAAAGAGACAGGAAATGTTAGTGTGTTGGATATTTTCTCCCTGTCTTGTCTCTGAGTATTAGTTTTCTTTACAGTGAAGTAGATTTTATGTGCATTTATTTTCTAATTCCCCCCACCCCCTCACTTAACAGTATCCCATAAACATGTCCCTCCTTATTGGTATTAAATCTCTGGGCACCTGGGTGGCTCAGATGGTTAAGCGTCTGCCTTCGGCTCAGGTCATGATCTCAGGGTCCTGGGATCGAGTCCCGCATCAGGCTCCCTGCTCCTTGGGAGCCTGCTTCTCGCTCTGCCTCTCTCTCTCATGAATAAATAAATAAAATCTTTAAAAAAAAAAAAAAGAATATTAAATCTCTTACCAATATTTTAGGTCAGTTTTGACTCATGTTTTCAGGGGAAGGAATGATATTGGATAAAGACTCATCACCCTCGTCTGCTAGGATATGGACCAGATATATATATATATATATTTTTAAGATTTTATTTATTTGAGAGAGAGAGAATGAATGAGAGAGAGCGTGCACATGAGAGAGGGGAGGGTCAGAGAGAGAAGCAGACTCCCTGCTCAGCAGGGAGCCCAATGCGGGACTCGATCTCAGGACTCCAGGATCATGACCTGAGCCGAAGGCAGTTGCTTAACCAACTGAACCACCCAGGCGTCCCTGGACCAGATACTGATCGGTGTAAGCAAGTCCCCAGGAAAAGTAGGTGCCTTTTATCTAGAGCCCTCAGACTTGGCGGGCAAGTTAAGAACAAGACTTCTGTCCAGATTCACTCAGACTCCTATCTTTATCAGGTGCTGGACTCTGGTTTCACTAAATCTTGATGGCCATAAAATAATAAGTGTGTTTTGCTTATGCCCGTTCCTCTGCCCTCTGTCCTCTGTTTGTAAACACCCCCCAACCCCCTACCCTCTGTCCTTCGCTTCAGGGAGTGCTGGAAGCATCGCCCTGCTCTTGGGAGCTTAGCTTTGTTGGCCCCCAGAGTGTCCCCTCATCCCTTCTGGTCCAAGTCATGGCTCCTGAGGAGTTTGCAGCCCCTAAGGAATAGAGTGGAATGCACAAAGCATTCTCGGGTTGGGACGTGGAGCCTCCACGGATGGCTCACTTGCCCGGTAAGTGAGCTATGGAATATCTGGATGGGAGTGATATTTGTGTTTTGATAAGAACAACTGCAGGTTCTGCTGATCATAGTTCTTGACACCTGCATGTGATATACACATAGATACAGACACCCCTTATGGGGGACACGCCTAGCTGGGCCAGAAGTTTGCGTTGTTTCCTTTAAATCCTTACAAGGATCCATGAGGTGGATGGCTAGTATCTCCATTGGAGGCAAGTAGCTTTGGTTGTCCAAAGGCACGCAGCTGGTGGGTATAGAACCAAGACCTTCACCTTCACCACTCTCACTCTGAGGTCCAGGCTTTAACTGCTGTCCATCTCAGAGAACAGAACATTCTGGAGCTGGAGGGGGCTTCAGAGGAGATTCAAAAACCTTGAATGTCCCAGCTGCTCTGTAAGCCAGTTAAATTTTTGAGTGGGGCCTGGCTTAAGTCATACGATTTTGTAAGTTCTGCAAGTAATTCTGAGAGGCAGCCTGGATTAAGAACCAGTAAAATCCAACACCTTTATTTATAAATGATGAAAATGCGACCCAGCGAGGGGCTTGCCCTAGTTTATACTTTTATTGAGTAGCAGAGCTGGAGCTAGGTCTAGGATTTCCAAGGCGTTCAAGTCCATACACGGACCCTATGTGGCCACAAGCACTGCACAGAGGTGCTGATTAAAAACCTTGAGGTGGGGTTGATTCCAGACATGAAGCCAGATACACCCATGCTCCCTTCCCCCACAAACCACAAGGTGCTCATTTCCCCAGACTCCGTCAACAAACGCCAATTTGAACATTTAGGTATTTAGTTTGTCGTTCTACTGGCCCTTTCAGGGATCATATTTAGAGTTATAAGGTCCTGTTTGGCAGCCCTCTGCTAGCTCGGGTAGCAAATCTGGTGCAAATGCCCGTGTCCCTCGCAGCCATTCCTCCGTGTCTTCCCCATGCCTCTGGCCTGCCATGTGGATGCATGGTGCCACCTTCAGGCATATCTCTCTCTCCTCTCAGGCTGGGCCATGGCCACATGGCCCAGTTTCACAGGGCATCTCTGGGACCAAAGGTCTCAGAGGTTGCACTTAGGTCTTGAGAATTGAATTTCCCGAGGGCGGAGAGAGAGGTGGTCGGGAGTGGAGGAGGGTGCATGATCATGAGCTGGCTTGTCTGCTGGAGGAAGGTCAGGAATCTGGGAGGGCAGTTAGAAATGCCAGCATATTCTTCCCTCTTCTCTGGGAAGCCAGCCAACAATGGGCCAACCATGGGCCAGTGTTCTCCTCCAGCAAGCTGCAGGCTACGCTGGGGGGCACCCCTCAGGAGGGGGGGTGGGGCATTTGGGGGTGTACCGTGGGAAGGAGAACAGAAGGAGCTGAGGCTCCTGAGGTGACCGGGGAGCCTGACCTCGGGAGGGGATTCCCCCTTCCTGTGGTGAGGTGGAAGTTTGTGTCATCTTGTCATAGATGCTTTGTTTCATCTTGCTATGTCACTGTGATGTTTGTCCGGCTGCCTTCTCTTTCCATTCCTTATAAGGTGTTCACGTCCTCAGTCAGAGCAGCTCCCTGTCAGCATGGTGGGGGAAGCCCTGCTGGTAGGTGCCTGAGCCTCTGAGGTGGGGGATTTGGAGGCCAGCCCCTTCCCCATCTCTGCCCACACAAGAGAGGCTGTCAATTTGGGAAAAACAAACAAGAAGGCACATAATGGTGTCTGTTCTGGGTGTTCCTACAGCATCATTGTCTCCCCAGGAGTCCCCAGCTGACATCAGTCCTCCAGGAGTTGGAACAAGAGCCCAAAGAGGCCTTTACAGGGATTGGGCCTTGATTAGGTTTGGGGACCATGAAGTTCAGAGTCTGGTAGATTCTGGTCAAAGATTAACGAAAGGAAGGAAAGGGACTTGAGGCAACATTAGAATCTAAGTGATGGTTAAACATATGAGTGCTGGAGCAAACTGGTTTGGGTTCAAATGACCCCTAACTGGATCCAAGTTACCAAAAATGTGCCTCATTTTCTTCAACTGCAAAGTAAGGATAATTAAATGTCTATACCCCCAGAGATGTAGTGAGTATTGATTGAGTTAATACATATAAAGGGTTTAGAACGGGTCGGGGGGGAGAGAGAAGGGCACGGAATGGAGTCACCCCAGGACAGGCAGGCCAGTCTCCTGTTCGTCCGAGGCTGGGTTCCCGTCTGTGCTCAGTAACACAACAGACTCACTTTTCCCCTCTGGTTTTCGGAGAGGAGCACGGAAGAGGGCCCGGTGTCTGGGCTGTTGAGCTGTTGTGCAGGTATGGAGGGCCACGCCAGCTTGAGTCAGGTGGCGAATCCCCAGGGATGTTCCTGGAGCCTACCCTGTCCCACAGACGAGGACTCAGACGTGACTCACCGTATGCAGGTGGTGCCTGGGCCTGAGTCACCTGGTGCCCCTTCCTCTAACACCTGCGATTCAGCGTGCGCAGGCTGGACCTGGCTCTCTCATCCTCCTTAAACTCTTCTCTCCGTTCCTTTCTCCTTCCTTCCTTTCCTTGTTCTTTATCCCTTGATCTCCCATTGAGCAGATCTTGGCTGATCTCCCCGACAGATGGATAATGGAGACGGGAGCTTCTTAGGCCACCCCCACACCCTGTCAGACATTGCCAGGAATGACTGAGAAGCACACAGCATGCTGCCTACCATGCATGGTGACATTGCTGTAATCTGAGGGTAGGTGCCTCCAAAAGACCCCTCTCTCTGCCGCTGACTGCTGCAGGAATTTTCACTCTCAGCTGTCCGTTCTGGTGACTGGACTCCCAGACTGTTCCCTCTGAGAATGCAAGTATACCCACAGTGCATGGGGACTCCTGAAACTATAGCCATATGATATCATTACATGAAGAGTGAGCACCTACTATGTGCCAGGCACTGTTCTCAGCACTGGGAAAACAGTAGTGAACAAAATGGACAAAAATCTCTACCTTCTTGGGCATTACATTCTGGTGGGACGAGTCAGAAAATAAACATGATAAATAGATATATAGTTGGTTTAAAGGTGGTAAGTATTGCAAACAACAACAAAAAAGACCCAGTCTACCCATAAGATAGGGTAGGTGGAGTTGGGAGTGGGATGGGGCAAGCTAGTTGGTTGTCATTTTAAAGGGTGGTCAGAGTCATTGAGAAAGTAGCATTTGAATAAAGACTTGAAAGAGGTAAGACAGTTAGCCTTGAAGACGCCCAGGGGAACCATGTTCCAGGCCGAGAGAGCACCTGGGGCCAGAAGCAGCCTGGTGATTTGGAGGCGATGCACCTGGGGTGAAGGGAGGGAGGGGCTGAGACAGAGAAGTAATGGGGGTGTTTGGGTCATGCAGGGCCTCACAGACTCTCTCTGAGGGCTTTGGCTTTGACCCTGACCCTAACGGGGAGCTAGTGCAGGGTTCTGAACGGGGGAGTGGCGTGACCTGTTTTGTGGGGTCTAATGCAGACCAGTTGGAGGCTATTGCGGAAGTCCGGGGAAGAGAGGCTCAAGCCAAGATGGTGGAAGCTGCCTTTGGAAGGGGAAATAACATCGTAGCACGAGGTGGGTGCAAGAGAAACCACAGTCAGGGAAAACCTGACTAGCCGCTTCCCTGAGCGCACGTTCTGATGAGCCAGGTCTGGGTGGTGGTGGTGGTGGTGCTGAGGCTGAGGGCTCCAGAATGGGATGCTGGGAAGCAGGGCACGAGAGAAGAGTACACCGAGGGAGCCTGGGGCACCGTAGTGACGCCCCCACCTGCCCTTTAGCCCTGGCCAGGTCCTAACCCAACCTGTGGCTCTGTTTTAGGCTCCTTATCTCTGAACAAATTAGGTTCTGTAGTTCAAAGCCAGTGCCTGGGGCCCTGCCATCCCCGGGTGGCGGGTGTGTGTGTGTGTGTGTGTGTGTGTGTGTGTCTAGATTGACCTCCCCCTCTGGGGAGTGCTCAGTGTCCCTGAGGAGGGAGGCTGACTGGGCTCCCCTTGGGGTCTGCAGAAAGGATGGCCTGGACTGGGCCCAGAGAGTGTGGGGGGCCCAAACAGAGCAATTGCCACTTTCCTCTGTGAAGCCAAACCCCTGCTGGGACCTGCCCCAGCCTGTGAAGTCTGAGACACTGAAGGCTTATTTACCTGGGCTCCTGGCCTCCTAAGAGAGGAGAAGGAGGGGGATTTGAAGGGCTCCAGCGACTCAGTGTGTGGCCCACCACACGCCCGCCCTGCCTGGTCTGAGGATCTGGGCTTGTCACACGGGCTCCTGCTGGTTAACTATTAATGAGTTCTTTGTCACATCCTCTTTCCTGGTGGTGGGCCAAGGAGGGGTTAGTTCCAGGAGGGTGAACACTTCCTGGAAGCCTTGAGTTCAGGGAGCTGGAGAAGTGGAGAGAAACAGACCAGGCAGGTGGGCTCAAAACCCCGGGATGGGGCTGGGGGGTGGGCAGCAGTGATCTTTCTCTGGAGGATGTGATAGGGGTCTCTCTGGGGTCTTGTTGCAGCGGCTGGCCCATGAAGGGAAGCTGCTCGTACTGACTTCAGCCAGATTTCACTGGAATTCTTACAGGGGTCTAGACACTAACATTTAGTGGAGTATCTGTTATGTGTGTAAACAACTTAATGCCCGTTTGCTAATTACAGTACTTCCCCTGCCCATCTCAACTTATTGGACTGAATGAGAACCGAAGGGTTAGAAATGCCCAGTTTAATCCACAAAATCCTACATTTTCCCCTTAAGGTTTCTCAAACCAATTTCTTGGACTTAACCCTCAAACTGTAGAGAACTTTCGGCTTGGGGGCCACTGACAGCCTGGACTGGGTAGGTAAGAGTCGCCTTTAAATAGAAACTTCAAGGGGCTGTGTTCCAAAACAATGCCACGCAGGCTCTTCTGCAACTGCAGGGCCAACATACGCACTGGCTGACCTTCCACCTCTCTCTGAAAGCCCCCTGACCCCAAGCTGGGGGCCGAGCGTCCTCTGAGACCAGCCTCTCGGTCTAGGCCTGGTTACTGCCGTGTCCAGGGGCCCTCAGGCAGGAGGGCACCAAGAGTCCCACACAGGAAGCTGGGTCCTGAGGCCTGGGGCGGGGTGGGTGGGTGGGGGGCGGGCCGAGGAAGTTGGTTTAGTTATGCGTCAGGTCAGGTCTGTTTTCTGGCCCTCCAGGCTGGCATTCTTGCCCGGGGAGGGAGGGGCTGGGAGACCAGCCCTTAGGAAGCTGGGGGCATGACTCACAGGTAGTTACCTGTCCTAGGGCTCCCTGCCAACCTGCAGAGGGATCTGGAGGGGAGGCATTTAGAGGTTATTCCTGTTTATTCCTCTTAAGCTCTCCTTGGGTGAGTTGGGCTTTGACCCCCTTCCTGATGAACCTAAAGCTCCTGCAAATTCCCCCCCAAGCAGGGATTTTCCACTTTTTAAGTTTTCCCTTGGCAGGGGTCTGGTGGTTTCCAGGGTCCTGGATGTTTGGGTCTATTCACCTTGTAGCCCAGTGACAGGTCTGGGCAATAACAGCCTACACACGAGCCCTGATCTTTGTGTTCTCTGCTTGGTCTTCTGTCCAGGGCCGCCCAGGACACAAGACGAAGCTGACTCCTGTGGGCCTTGGGGAAGTGCCAAATGCAGTGCCTATCACAATGAGTGCCCTTCTCTGCCTCCTGGGAGTCACTGACAGCCGCCTGGGGCTTTCTGTTTGCAGTGGCTCCCTTCACCACCATCCCGCCCCTGCCTGCCCCCACGGGCACCCATAGGCAGCCGGGACCGATGAGCTTTCTGTGAGGCCTCTGAGACCGACCCACCTGCCCAGTCCTGTCCTGGGGGGTGGGGGTGGGGGTGCAGTGACGGCAGATGGGCGTGCCAGCCGCCGGATTCCTGAGAACCGCCCTGCAGTGGGCGACGCCCAGCTGGGGAGTCTCCAGAGGTAAGGCCCTTCTTTAAAAACTGGGAGCCAGGAGAGGAGACCCCACATTCAAGGGGTGCTGTTAGAGGCCATCTAGAGAGAGAAGAGTGCAGTACGGAGCAAGGTACGTTACCTGCCTTCCCCTGCCCGGTGGGGGCCAGGCGCGGGAGCAGGGCTGTCTGTGTCTCTGGGTGTCTGGGGCCTGGCTGCAGGGCCTGATTCATTCCTCCTTCAGGGAGGTCACCTGCAAAGGCTAGGTCAAATGTCTGCCATTGTTTGGGTTGCTTTTTCACATCGGAGAAGTGTCTCAGTGACTTAGAAGAAAGCAGCTTCAGATCCGGGCTGAGCACAAAGAGAAGTGGAAAGTGTGGGCTGGCCCAGCTAGAGCTCTTCCAAGGGCCACTCCGATGCCTGGTTGTGGGGGATTCCAGCCTGGGGGCAGGAGGGCAGAAAGAGCACCGAATGGACACCAAAAAGTGGGTCTCCCTCTTGGGCCATGATTAGCTGTGCAACCTCAGGCCACCTGTCCCTTCCTGGGGCCCCTGACTCTTCTGGGAGAGGATTGGAAGGCATGATTTCTAGGTATTAGGATGTGGACTGTAAAGACACCAGGAGGGGCCCCAGCTCCCTCTCTGCTCCTGCCTTGCCACCCCCACCCCCCTGCCCTCTTTCCACCCTAGCCAGAGGACCTTGGGGCTGTCTTTGGAGCAGACACGCATCCAAACCAAGGCAGAGCTGGGCACTGCATGAGCAGGGGTGGGGCATGCCTCTGCAGGCTAGGCTTGCCGGCCGGCCTCCTGGAGGGACGCAAGTATCCAGCGTCAGCCTCCGGAATCCGGGCTCTGCGGCTGTCCTCCTGCACAGCCCTGAGCCATAATGGGAGCCATTTTGAGATGCTTCCAGTTCAGATGAAATCCTCACTCACTTTTTCTTTTTTTTTAAGATTTTATTTATTTATTTGAGAGAGAGAGAAAGAGAGGGGGGAGGGTCAGAGGGAGAAACAGACTCCCTGCCGAGCAGGGAGCCTGATGCGGGACTCGATCCCGGGACTCCAGGATCATGACCTGAGCCGAAGGCAGTCGCTTAACCAACTGAGCCACCCAGGCACCCCTCGCTCACTTTTTTTTTTTTTTTTGGTGGGATTTTTTTTTTTTTTTTAAGATTTTATTTATTTATTCATGACAGACAGAGAGAGAGAGAGAGAGAGAGAGGCAGAGGGAGAAACAGGCTCCCGAGGAGCAGGGAGCCCGATGCGGGACTCGATCCCAGGACCCTGAGATCATGACCTGAGCCGAAGGCAGACGCTTAACCATCTGAGCCACCCAGGCGCCCCCTCGCTCACTTTTTAAATGCTGCAGGCTCGCCTTTCTCCCCATCATATCCTGTCCCAGCTACCTGCTTAGCTCAGAGTTGTGGTCACCACAGCCTCACCCTCAGGGAGGCCCGGGTGGTACTGGAGACCATGCCAGTGGCAGAGAGACCGCGCTTCTAGGCCCTCAGCCACTTGGACCCACTCACCTTTTGGCCTGCAGGCTGGGCCAAGCCCTGAGAAAGGCCAGTTCTGTTTCTTGGGGGCAGCAACAAGGCCTTGGACATCTCGATAGCACCTCTCCTGCAAAGGACCCAGCCCTTTTCTGCTCCCTATATTGTCCTTACGACTATGTGGGCCGGGGAGGGCCAACCCTCTTTCCCTTCCATCTCAGAGGGGGAAGATGAAGTCTCGGGGGGTGGGGGGCACAGTGTGAGTCACACGCCAGTGGGGACAGGGGTCCAGGGCTCTGGCATTTTCCAAACTTTTGGCTACAGAAGTACCTGCTGCGTACAAGTATCCTAGGTTGGAGGAGACCCTACGTAAAGGGGGCTAGTGTGCCTTAGGGTTTGTATTGTTTTATCCAAGCTGCTCTGCTCTGTCCCAGGTGAGGTCCTCTGAGGGGCTTCCCCCAGTGGCTGAAGATGAGGCCGCTCCTCCTCCTGTGCTTTGGTAAGTGTCCCCTTCCCATCCCTCCAGGCCCTGTTCTATAGCAGGGAGGGGACAGCCATGGGTAGGAGGACTGTGAACCAAAGTGTGAGCATCATCCGTCACTCTGTCATCCTTCAGTTTAGAACACTTGTCTCCTGGGGCCCCAGTGGGGTTTCCCTGCTCCTTTGGGCCTTTGGGAAAGACGATTCTCTGCCTCTCTTGAGAGGCTCCCAAGTGTCTTCTTATTCCTACCTGAGCGTGGCTCGTGGTTCCCCAAGTGGCCTGCACAGCTAATTGCCCAGCCTTTCACTATCTTGCTGGTTCCGGAGCCATCACGGCTGGGTTTTACAGTGGACTGTAGCCGGGCACTCACAAAGTGTGGCTGGGTCCACCTTGCAGAGAAAGGAGCAGAAAGAATGGCGGCATCTCCCAGCTTTGCACAGATGGTGAGCAGCGAGCCCTGCTCCGGATGCTGACCGAGGCCAGGCTGCAAGTGAAGGGATTGAGGAGTGTGTCCCAGTGGCTGAGCGTGTGCCTGCAACTTGATCCTAAAAGCCACATATGGAGGCCACATTTCAGGATCATCCAGGGTTTCTCCTCCTTTCCTTTTTAAATTACAGGTTACAGAACATGAAATCAGCTTTTTTTACCTGATAGCATCAGGAGTCCAGTCCTTACCGCCACCACCAAGTGGGAGCAGGCGTGAGGGAAAGGGGCTAGGCTTGCTGATTTATGCTTCCCTGGGGGAATACTGGGGTGGCCTGGTGGGGCCCTCCTCTCTCTAGGCTATTCCCCAACACCCCTGTGATTTCAGTCTGCCCCGGCCTCCTGTGTGCCCAGCAAGCCTGCTCCCGTGGGGCCTGCTATCCCCCTGTCGGGGACCTGCTCATCGGGAGGACCCGGTTTCTCCGAGCTTCGTCCACCTGCGGACTGACCAAGCCTGAGACCTACTGCACCCAGTATGGTGAGGTAGGTCCGACCACCATGGCCTCCAGGACTGGAGGAAACAAGGTGGAGTGGGGTGGGTGAGCCTGCCCTTTGTTCACACAATGCCTAGAGTGTATTTGGGCTAGCCACCACTGCATGCACTGTGGGGAGTGCAAGAAAAGCCTAAGGCCAGATCTCTACCTCTAAAGGATTTTCTCCTTCACTGGGTGAGAGAAAACGTCTTCAGGATTAGCTGAATGGCTCTCTTCTCCCTTCTGCTTGATAAAGCTGGAGTCTTTCCTCAATCCTCGGGTCTGGGTAGGACAGTTTTTCAAGTCTTGGGAATGATCAGATGAATGTTGATCTTTTAGATCGGAGAGTGTACGTGTCATCTGTGGTGGGCGACGTCAAGGCTGATGGAGCATGGGTGGTGGGATGTGTGCACTGGGTTGTGTTCTTGCCATGGGATGAACTGAGTGGTGCCATGGTAACTCTTTGCCACCATCTCTTTGGCCAGTGTTGGGAAATGAGTATAGACAGAGCTAGCGGGAGAATATTTGATTGTAGGCTGGAGTTGACCTTCTATGTTTTACCATTGCCATGTATGAAGAGCCAACTTACTTACCTCTCAGCCTTGTGGGTCCCCTCAGGCAAGTGGTAAACACCCCATCTGCTGTTAGAGGACATGAATCAGCAAGATAGACAAAGAAGCGATGAGGCCAGCGAGGGGGTTCAGCGACTTAGCTGATACGTAATGAACGCGAGCTGAACAATCTAGAAACCCAAACACTTTGATGTATGTCAGTTAACATTCCCCATTTAGGCAACTGAGTTCTTCAAAGAGCTGTTGTGATTTGTCTTCTACACGCCTCTGGACCTTTTTTGGAGGAACGTTGGCTTCTTTTCTTTTCTCTTCAACAAGGTGGGGGTCATTCTTGGTGCCTTGTGTTTGCCAAAGTTGAAACCACTTAGTGTTTCCTTGTTTTCCGACTGCATGTCTCATTTGGCCATTTTTTCTGCCCTGAAACCAAAGGTCTGGACAAAGGAATGTGTGAGGGAGGAGTTTTCCCTGAGTCTTCTAGTCTTTTCAGAGAAAGAGAGAAAGAAATACAGAGAGAAGGGGCGTGAGAGAGATTGATTGCCGTGAAGGAGACTTGGGTCCTCCGTGGTGTCGTCTTTCCAGACTGTTCTTGTCATTGGGACGATGGAGGTAGCATCTGATACTACCTCTGGGCCCTGCTGCCCTTCTAGTCTCCAGGGATCTTTTGGCTACTTTTAATGGCAGATGGTACTGAGTAGTGGCTTTGGAGATGCTGAGCAGAGATGACTGTGGTTTCTGCATCTCACCCAGTTGGATGTGAGGAAGCCGCTTTGACAGTGTTGAGTAAGATGGCCGGCATAAGGCCAGGACTCCCTGTGGGCCCAGATTACTCCACAAGCGTCAGGGGACCTGGCAGTATTGAGCTTTCTAGGCAACGGAATGGTTTTTGCTGCTCCCTTTCCACATGCCCTCAAAATCGGGGGCCACTGAGCCATGTCTAAAAATTTGGGGGAGACTTCTGCTGACTTCCTTCCTCGAGCTGACCTGCCTTTTGGGAGGGGAAGCAAGGAGAAATACAGAGCCCCTGTGCTGGGTTGTCCCCTCAGCCCCAGCCCTGTCTACACAGCCTCTGTCCCTGAAGCCTTGGACTTTTGGCTTCACCTTGGCCTGCCCTCTGCCTCTCTCAGATGCTGCAGGCTGCCCACGTCCCTTCCCTGCTCTTAAGCAGCCCCCTGAGAACAAAACGGTGCTTGCAAAAGAGGAGTCTAGACTTTTGCAACCCTGGGGATGGATAAATCTCAGCTATTTTGCTGCTGTGAAAGTTGAGACACATTGGCTCCCCCTGCCCCCTCCCCCCCTGCTTTTCTGTAAGGGGGAAGAAAGCTATGCAGCCTCTTTTTGAGAGTAGAAGATAGGGCATCTTGAATGCAGTGTGTAGTTCCAGGTCTGCCACTAACTTGTGGTGTGATCTTTGGCAAGATATTACCCCTCTCTAAGCCTTAACTTCCTCTTCCATGAGTGAGCGTTAGATGAAAGGGTCTTGAGGTTTGCTCCTGGCCCCAAGTTTCTTTGGGAATGAGCTGACAGCTGAGAGCCAGCTTCTGTCCCCCCTACCTGCCACCTCTCCCTTGTTCCATTGCCCTTTCTCCCTCTCTTATCTGCCTAACCTCCTAGAGGCTATTGGTTGACAGCAAGGAAGACACACACTAAAGGCACACAGTCCCTTCTAGTGCTCTGTGCAGATGTTCTCCCTGAACCCTCATTGGCCACGGAAGTGGCTGTGTGATGAAAATTTGGAATCAGGATTTTAACTCTGCTGACTTCCAATTTCAGTTTTTAAGTTTAATGTATTCTATTATCAAATGTTACGTATAGCAGCTGTAATTTATTAGGCACATGTTATATGTCCCAGACCTCATACTAAGAGTTTTACAGAAATTATCTCCCTTAATTTTCACAAGGCTTCCTGTGGGGCGCTTGTTACCTCTGTGCGCTATTGGGAGGGTTTGGATGTGTGCTGGGACCCAGACTTTTAATGGAAACACACAGGTGTCGAGTTTTCTGAGGAGTTAGAGATGGGGGGTGTACCGGGCAGCCCCAGCTGGAGATAAGGCATGATGCAGAGCTGCATTCCTGGTACCTGCCTCTCTCCATTCTCTCCCTCACCCCTTCCTACCAACTCCTGCCCCCACATACACACCTTCTTTAAGTCGAAGTTTCTGGTTAGTGCTTCTGTTCTATTTCCGTGACTTTGCGAGCCCTGAGCCAAGCACGACCTCATCCAGCACCTGCTGTCTGCCCACTGATGTGGCATGAATGCAAGTGCATCAGAGATTTATGACTCTTGGACATTCTGCACCGCTCATTCCCCTGCCCTCAACCCCAGTGGCACTCAGTGGAATGGGAGTTGCAGGAGCAGTGGGGACTCGTTCCAGTTCCGAAATTGTTTCTCCCAGCTCCCGGTCTCAGAGTTTGGCTCCGGTTCGCTTGCTACCTCCTCTGCCTGATTTGGTCTCAGTGGCTAAATCCTATTAGCCTTGAGGACTTGCTTCTGTGGTTTTGGGGTCCATACTGCAACCCTTGCAATGGACATAGGACTTGGCCAGCTTTGCTTTGGGGTAGCCCTCCCCTAACTTTGCCCTTCATAGGCCTGCCTGCCTTGACTGCCCTTTAACCATCCAAGCTTGGGCCCAGGCTGTTCTTTCCCAAAATGGCCCTGTCTCCTTGTCCTCCTTCCTTTAGTTCCTAACTAACCTCTGGGTAGACTCACTATTCCCTAAAGCTCAAGGCATGTCTATGTTGCCCCCTTATCCTTGTTCTCTTCTGTGCTTTTTCTCAGCGTCAGCTCCTCATTTGAAAAATGACAGTAACGACAGCACCCTGCCCAGTGAGTGGTTGCGAGGACCGTATAAAGGAACGAGCCAGGGATGCCTGGGTGGCTCAGTCGGTTAAGCAACTGCCTTCGGCTTAGGTCATGATCCCGGACTCCTGGGATCGAGTCCCACGTCGGACTCCCGGCTCAGCGGGGAGCCTGCTTCTCCCTCTGACCCTCTCCCCTCTCATGCTGTTTCTCTCTCTTAAATAAATAAATAAATAAAATCTTAAATAAAAAAGAAAGAAAGAAACTGTCAAATGCCATTAAAAAAAAAAAAAAAAAGGAATGAGCCAAGTAACCTTGGCTGGTGTCTGCAAGACACTAAATGTTACATCCTCTCTCCCCTTACACACCCTCCTCCTGGCACCTGTGTGTGCAGGCAGAGGCCGCCCCATCTGTGAATCACACTCCTGAGCAATTCCTCCCTTATTAGGATACCCACTCGCATACTTATTGAAATCAACTCTGCTCCCAAGGTGGCCGCTGTCAATCTGGTCTGCAGTGGACCGTGGGAGAATCTGGAGGCAATCACGGTTAGCGAAGTTGCCCTGCCCGGGGGTGGGGACTCTCTGGTCCGGATCCTGGCTCTGACACTGAGATGAGGGATGTGACCTTGCTAGCTCCTGGGTTCTCTCTAGACCACCATTTCTCCATTGGTGAAATGAAGGAGTTGGGTTAGTTGGCCCTTGTGTTTGCTCAGCTCTGGCATCTCCGCCTGCTTCTCAGAGGTGGCTGGGCTCTGTGTGACCCCGTGGGTTCATCATGGTCTCTCTCAGGCAGGGGCTTCTCTACTGGCAGGGGCTGAGCCGTGCCCTTCCGGTCAGCCCTGTGAGCTGCTTCAGCTCCCCAGGGACCAGTGCGTTTTGCCTGGAAGCTTTCTAGCCCTGATTTCTGCTTCTGAAAATGTCTCCTCCAACATTGTGTCTGCTCCCCTAAATGCTTTATTTATCTCCCACTCCCTCCCTTGCTGGGGGAAAACTTAATTACCCAGCTGCCTTAATAACAGTTTTACCCAGTGCATTCCTCAGGTTAATGAGCTGTGTAAACCCAACAGCTGTTATGTTTATCTCTTGGAAACACGCTGAGAAGTAGTAGCCCATTGATATCCCCTCCATTCCAACACACACACACACTCGCACGCACGCACACGCACACATGCACACATGCACACATGCATGTCAATGCATCCACACACACATCCCCCAGCAACCACTGCCTTTCTTTGTTTGACTATTGTCTGTTTTCTGGACCTTTGGCATGGCTGATATGTAGGCGGAGGATGTGTGAGCTCCTTATGTCTCTGTACTTTGGGACTGCTTTTTGCCCTCCTGTTTCCCAGAAGTTCTCAGCAGTTCTGAAACTTCCAAAGCTCCTGCCACTGGGTATCTGCTCTTTTGGATGAAGCATTGTTGCGTCCTTTGTCTGAAATACAAACACTCTTGGGAAAAGCACCGTATCAATCTGTCATCAACTGTTATATCTCAGCCAGGGTTGCTTACCAGAAAATTAGCTGTGGCTTTTGTAAAGGGTTCCAAAAAAGTAAAGGCCAGGATGGGTAAGTTTTGAGGGATAGAAGGACATGGATAGGGACATTGGGGGAAAGTGTTACCATCAGGAGGAAGCAAA